GAGGGTTTTATTTGATTCCTCAGTGACTCAGTTCAAAAAAAGTTAAATGCTCCCAGGTTCCTTTTAGAGTTAGGTTTCAATACAGGGGTGAATAAGATGTGGGAAAACAGGCCAACATAACTGGGTTCTCATTTGTGTCCAATAATTAAGAGAGGCTATGAATCATTTTCTACTCTAGTTAAATCCACAGCATCCTCCATTACGTCCTAGATCGATGTACTGCATAGGGTTCTGATAGGAAGCAGATGTCACACTCCAACTGACAGTAATTACAGAAGTGTGGGCAGGATACAGGAAAAGCAAGATGGTTCAGTACCCTAGGGGTAGGCCTAAAGGGGAGAAGGAACAGTTGCTGGAATCTGAGGAGAAGGTGGTTATGGAGGCAGTGGCAGAAGCTGTGGGCTTTAGGAGAGCAATTTTGTAGTGAAGGAGTCAGGGGAAGGACTACCCTGAGACTTCTCCCTTCTGCCCTCTGTGTCTCCCTCCATGAGAAGAGGAGGATAAGGGAGCAGGACACAAAGTGAAGTGGGAAAGGATGGAGCGTCTCTGGATGTACAGGTAGAAGATACTCAGAACAACCAACAACACTAGATAACATACCAAGTATCTGTCTTCCACTACAGACAGGGTGGTAGAGGAAATGTGCTCTGGGTTTTATACAGTTCTTGATGATTTAATCCAGACTGTTTGGCTAAATCCTTCTCTGATTCTTAGTTTTATATTTGTAAAATGTGAATAGAAGACCTCCTTTCCCAGATTGTTCTCAGGTTTCAGACCTATTATGTAGATTAGGATACAGCAACATCATAATTTGCTCAAGACTTTAGGGCAATAAGGAACCTTAGAACTTAGTCATCTACCATCGTTGCTCTTGCCTGTCAATTACTAAGTGGTTCACCATGTGCTCTGTGTGGAATTTATATTCTTGGCAGTCGTAAACTAGGCGGGAGTGTATCATGGGGGGATAGCGAACCTGTGTACTCTGTGAGCATTGACTGTAGTCTGATCTCAGTATGGCTTACACATTTTACTATTTATCAGTTTATTTTGGTGCTGATGTGACTAATAAAATACAAATTTACTTAAGAGTGGTATGAAGTCTTGATATCTTGTTGGTTTTGTTTTCGTTTTATTTTGTTTTTAATCATGGTGCTATGTTTTCTCTATCAAAGGAATACTAAAAACATACTATTTTGTGGGGTCAGGTCAAGAGAAACTTTTCCATGATTCTAAAAGGAATCTTGTACTTAAAATGTTTAGGAACCACTAATATATTTTGACTTTGTGTATCAACTTGGTTTATGTTTTGTCAAGAAATTTTAGGCCTTAGGCATTGGTTTCTGAGACCATCCCATTTATAATTGCACCCAAAATAATAAGATACCTAGGAATAAACTAACCAAAGAGGTGAAACACCTCTTCTCTGAAAACTGTAAAGCACTGATGAAAGAAATCAAAGATGCACACAAAAAAATGGAAAGATATTCCATGCTCAGTATTTGGAAGAACAAATGTTAAAATGTCTATACTATGCAGAGCAATCTACACATTTAATGCAATCCTTATCAAACTACCAATAGCATTTTTCACAGAACTAAAATAACCTTAAAATTTATATGGAACCACAAAAGACCCTGAATAGCAAAAACAATTTTGAAAAAGAAAAGCAAAGTTGAAGGCATCATAATTCTGGACTTCAAGTTACATTTCAAGGCTGTAGTAGTCAAAACGGTATGGTACTGGCACAAAAAATAGACACATAGATCAACAGAACAGAATAGAAAGCCCAGAAACAAACCCCCAATTATTTGATCAATTAATCTTCAACAAAGCAAGAAAGAATATTCAATGGGAAAAGTACAGTCTTTTCAACAAATGGTGTTGGGAAAACTGGGCAGCAGCATACAAAAGAAAGAAACTGGACCACTTTCTTACACTATACACAAAAATAAAATCAAAATGGATTAAAGACCTAAATGAGAGATGTGAAACCATAAAAATCCTAGAAGAGAACACCAGCACTAATTTCTTTGACATAGGCCATAGCAACTTCTTTCAAGATAGGTCTCCTGAGGAAAGGGAAGCAAAAGCAAAAATAAACTATTGGGACTGCATCAAAATGAAAAGCTTCTGCACAGTAAAGGAAGCAATCAACCAAAGGCAACCTACAGAATGGGAGAAGATATTTGCAAATGATATATCCATTAAAGGGGTTAGTATCCAAAATATATAAAGAACTTATACAACTCAACACCCAAAAACAAAATAATCCAATTAAAAATGGGCAAAAGACATGAACAGACATTTCTCCAAAGAAGACATCCAGATGGCCAACAGATACATGAAAAGATGTTTGCCACTTACCATCAGGGAAATGCAAATCAAAACTACAATGAGATACCATCTCACACCTGTCAGAATGGCCAAAATCAACAACACAATAAGCGTCAGGTGTTGGCAAGGATATGGAGAAAAAGGAACACTCACGTCTATTGGTGGGAATGCAAACGGGTGCAGCCACTGTGGATAAGAGTATGGAGGTTCATCAAAAAGTTAAAAACAGAACTACCTTATGATCTAGCAATCACACTACTGAGTATTCACCCAAAGAATACAAGAATTCAAAGGGTTACATACACTCCTATGTTTATAGCAGCATTATTTATAATAGGCAAGATATGGAAGCAACCTTAGTGTCCATAGACTGATGAATGGATAAGAAAGATGTGGTACACATACAATGGAATACTATTCAGCCATAAAAAAGAATGACATCTTGCTGTTTGCAATGACATGGACGGAGTTAGAGTATTATGCTAAGTGAGAGGGAAAGACAAATACCATGTGATTTTACTCATATGTGGAATTTAAGAAACAAGGGAAAAAAATAAGTTGGAGAGACAAAGCAAGAAAGATTCTTAATTACAGAGCACAATTTGATGGTAACAGAGCAGAGGTGGGCAGCAGAATGGGGTAAGTAGATGGTAGGGATTAAGAAGCACAGGGTGATGTATGGAAGTGTTGACTTACTATATTGTACGCCTGAAATAACACTGTATGTTAACTAACTGGAATTAAAATAAAAATGAATATTAAAAAAAAAAGAAAAAAATTGGTTTCTGAGGACAACTCTTTCCCTGTATTGCATAACAAATTTGAGGGCAGTACTGGTACCAGTTCAATGAAGCCTTTAAAATGGACAGTTTTCCCTTTCAAACTCTCAGTGCAGATAATAAAAAGGAGAAAGGTCTAATTTTAGGGTAATGCTCTAATATAGGAGTGGGGAGGAAATCTGGAAAAGAAAATATATTTAATCTTGAATGTAAATCATTCATATTTAGCAAAAATAAGAGAGGCTATGTCAGCTCCTTGCTCCTCTGTCAGTGTCTCTGGTATGACCCAGCTCTTCTTGTCAAGCTAGTCCACAGACAGAATATGATCAGAAGAGCATGTCCTGTGGATCCAGGCAAACCCGATTTCACATCCTGGATCTACAAGTATCAGGTGAGTGAATTTGGATAATTCTAACTGGCCTAATGTAGAAATATTCAGATTGCAAAGTTATTTTGAGTTTCAAAAAGACTGATATTGGGGATGAAAAAAATTTCCTTCTTGGGTGCTATGGCTCTAAAGAATGCTCATCACTTTAGTGCTTAGAATTTCAGGGCTGGAATGACCCTGGTAATCTCTCATTTCCTTTCAAAGATGGAAACAAGAGAGGTGATAGGACATACCTATGTTCATAGAAGTAGTTAGTGGTAAAATTCAGACTGGAACTCCATCCTTTCCTGAAAGTGACATTTGTCAATGACAAAATATGACGAGGAATTGAATTGAATTGAATTGAATAGAGTTTTGAGAATCTACCCAGTGGTATCCATTGAGCTGATAATGAGACTCAAAAGGTGAAGTCAACACAACCAGGAAGGTGACAATCTAGTTGAAGGAGAATATAACCACATCACAAGTTTAATGATGATCCAACACAAAATACAAATACACTGAGCTGTATATCCAGAGGATGGATAAATTTAATTATGTCTGAGGTAGAAGACATAGTGAAATCTACCTCGTAATTAATAAAAAGATATCCTTCCAGCTCTTCCCATCTGCCCCCTTATTTATTAATCGAACAGATACTTCTTTGTAGATCTACATCTAAATATCAGATGCTCTCTTAGTAGTTATGGAGAAAAGTACAGGTTTCCCTGTTAACTCAAAGTAGTGTTCCTACGAAACATTTCATAGGCCGAAAGCACCAAAAATGAAGAAGCAGTTACCATGAATTTACATGGAGAATTTGAGTTTTTTCAGACCCCAAAAATAACCTCTCTTAGGCCTTTCTGATACCTTAGGACACATCCTGCTAATGAATGCACAAAATCAACAGAGATCAAGCACAGATGCTCACAGGCACTGTTCAAAGCTATGGCACCTTGATGCTCAGTGTAGTTCTGGGGAAGGAACGCGGAGTGCCCTTCCTGCTGCTCCATCCAAGGTGCCTCTGTAATGGCTGGCTGCGAATTAATACTGAACGCTATTTTCGTTTCTCGCCTTTCCCCCTAAAAGCAAAAATCCTCGTTGGATTTCTTTCAGGTAGCAAAAACGCGTACTAATGTGGGTCTTTTGTAAAAGCAAAGTGGCATAACATGAACTTTAGAAAAGCAGGGGATACCTGTACTTAAAAACTTTGCAATTAAGGAGATGAGGGAAATCTGCTGCATTTGGTGAGGATTTCCCAAAAAAACAAACCAAGTGCAGAAGACCCCCTAATCGGTCAGAACAGCAGCTAAGGTAACCCTAGGTGTCAGTGGGGCACCTGGCTACACCTCTGAGGCTTTCCTTCAGCAGGCACACTAACACTTTAAGGAGCCGGGAGGGAGCAGCTCCTCCTTGCTCCCCGCTCCTCCTCCGCCAAGCCAAGGTCTGCATTGTGGGCCACGCCCCTGCGCGCTGGTTGGTCCTCACAGACATGATGAAACTTCCCTCGATCATTACAGGAGCTAGGCCGGTATAAAATCAGAGGAGGCCCGCCGCCCCGCCCGCAGTCTGCAGCCCCTACCTGGCATCTCTCCTCCGTGCCATCCATCTAAGCCCCGGTAAGCCAGGCTCTGCTGCCCAGCGCAGCGCCCTCCCAGCGTGCCCCGGGGCCGCCCCCCGGGGGAGGGGGGAGAGAGAGAGGGAGGGAGGGAGGGAGGAAGAAGGAGGAGTAGGAGGAGGAGGTGGCGCTGCAGTCTCGTCCCACACCGGTGGGCAGAAGCGGCTGCAGGCGGCCAGCCGGCTCTGCGGCTCCTGCCGGTAAAGGGGGCGGGGCCGATTGTTGCGCACCTGGGAGGAAGCTGGAAGGAGAGACCTAGGGTCTAGGTCTTCGGTCGGAGGGATCAAGTGAAAGACCGAGGCGAGGCTGGACTGCGGCCCACTTGGCCCTTGTAAATTTTACAATTTTTTATTATATTGCGTGGAAGCCTGTGGAAATTTTCGCAGTCCGGCGGCCCTACGGTGGACCGGCCAGAGGGTGCACGTGGCTGGGGTGCAGTCGGAGTTTCGGGGTGCAGTAGGAGTTTCGGGCCGCACAGTTGCTTGGTCCCGATCTCCCGCCTGTCGGTCAAAGCCTAAGGGTCTGTACTTAGCCCCTCACCTCTGGCTCCCCCCACCTTTTGGCTCCCCTCTCCTCCCCCCGCCCCCCTCCCCACAGACTGCGAGACTCAGCAAGTGACTTGAACAAACCCCGCCTCTAAGAGATATGTTCAGGGCGACAGGCGAAGCGGTATGGAAAAAAGCAAAAGAACTAACATTTCTTTCTCAGTGGATAACTATTCTGTAGGGCTGGTTTCAGATTGTTACTATTTTGAATAAAAGGTCAGTTTTCTGCTGGGCCCTTGGTCTATATTATTTCTTCATGGGCCATTGTCCTGGGTGCCTTGACTAACAATTTAAAAAGCACTCATAACTTTTTTTTCATTGACCGCATTGCTATAAGATTAATTAAAAGTAACTTAGGCCTTGAACCTGTCCAGGAGTTGGTTGCTGATACGTTAATGTAAAAATAAAACAATATGGTGAAGTTTTTAGTTGGTAAGCAGCCATCGAAATCAAATGCAGGGAAGCAGCACTGTCCAATTCAGTCCACCTGTAACTATTGAGAACTTGAAACGCTGACTAGTCCGAATTAAGGTGTGGTGTGAGTGTAAAACACCAGATGTTGACGATTTAATAGAGAAAGGCAATGTAAAGTATTTTGTCAATAATTTTTTAAACTGATTTGTTGAAATACTTTTTTTGGTACATTGTGTTAAAATATATTTAAAGTTATCTGTCCTTTTTCTCTTTACTTTTTTAATGGGGCTACTAATATTTTTTAAAATTCCACATTTAGCTTACATTTCTGCTGGACAGCACTGTTCTAGAAGTTTATGAGGAAATACAGAAAATTACAGGGAGCAGGTAATAGCAGTAGGAGAAAGCATTGCAAATAGGACCTTTGCAAGTAAGCCTGATTCCAACAAAAATAGGTAACAGTTTTTAGTTTGCTTTTTCCTGCTGGAGAAGTTAAGTGTGCTTCACTAATATGTGTTCCCCTTCTTTCCCCTCTATTTTAGTGCTTAGGGTGTGTTCCTTATAGCAGGCCTAATAATGGGATTCACTAATCGGCATTAGGAAGACTTAGGTAAATGATTAACTAATGATCTCTTGTGATTTTCAGAGCACTTTCTCAGCCCATTTTTAACTGGTATAGAGGAACCATACATGGCTTATTAGTAGCAATCTCACTTCAATCTAAGTGTATTTCCCCGCTATATCTCAAATATCTCATTAGAGGCTATTTGGCCAAGTGCATGGAAGGGACTGCATAGGACATGTGCTACTTCAATTCCAAGTTGTTTGAGTCACTATTATTTTTTGTTAGTTTGATGTGGTCTCATTAAAAGGCTAAACAAAGCTTTGGTTCATTTAGATACAAACTCCCTCAGAGAATTGCCCAAAGTGATTGGTGTAACTTGAATATATATATTTTCTTGATGATTTTTGTCCCAAATTAGGCATTTGCTGCAAATTTGCATTTAAAAATAACCCAAATAAGTGTCTGAGTTTGAGATATTTTGGTAAAATAACTGTTTTGAGCTGGCAGCATCCAAATAAAACAGCTCTTTATTTCACAGTTGAGAATATGAAATTGCAAGGTAACATTCATAGGAATTGTTTGTTTCTTGGCCTATAGGGATGGCCAGATTGTTTTTCAGAGATGTTGTTGCCATTTATTTCCCACCCACTTTGCTTTCTTATGAACCAAGGCAACTTAGAGACAAAAATATTTTAGAACATTTTTGTCATTTAGGACATTTGGATGGTGAACATTATGTATTTCTGTCAATGTAAAATGTTTTTTTATTATACAGCCAAGATATCTGATATCAGATAACATGCCTTTCTTTTTTCTCTTTAGAATTTCTTTCATCACGTTTGAATAAATCACTTAAAGGTACGTGAGAAGTTGTGAAATGCTTATAATAGCTGTGTATCTTAACATAGCACCTGAGCAGTATGTATGATCTTTTTTACCCGCTAGTCTCAATGTGTAGTTACTACAGGTAAAGACAGGACGTTTAATTGTCAAAGAGACCTGAGTGGGGACTGTAGTAGTAATATGGGGAGTCTCTTGGATTTTTGAGGGCTTCTGAGGTCCTGAGATGAAGAAAGAGGGACAGGGATCTCTCACTAGGTTGGAGCCAGCCTGCATCTGTTATCTGCCTCTTGGAAGTAAACCTCGAATGTGACCTGACTCCCCCCAGCTCTAGCTGGCCAAATCCCAAGGTGGGAGAGATGCCAGCTTTGACAGGGTGCCAAATTGCTACCGCTGGCTAGATGGAAAGGTCATGCATCTTTTCTGAATACTTGTACGTGAATTAAATCATTCTCAACTCCTGTGTGCCTGCCAACCTAATGGAAAATTGCTGTGGACAAGATAGTTTAAATGTCAGTCTTTGAAGTGGTTTATAGCAGTTTTTGGAATCAAGATTTAATACAGACTTGGATTGGGTATTAAATATTTAACAGGCCTACTCTTTTCTCCATAGAAAACTCATAGCTCCATTGCACCATGTGCGGGATTTGGGCCCTCTTTGGTAGTGATGACTGCCTTTCAGTGCAGTGTCTGAGTGCTATGAAGATTGCACACAGGGGTCCAGATGCATTTCGTTTTGAGAATGTCAATGGATACACCAACTGCTGCTTTGGATTTCATCGGTTGGCAGTGGTTGACCAGCTGTTTGGAATGCAGCCAATTCGAGTAAAGAAATATCCTTATTTGTGGCTCTGTTACAACGGTGAAATCTACAACCACAAGAAGGTAAATAAAACAAAACCAGAAGGTATCTGGATGTGATTAAACCTCAGAGCTAGTTGGTTAGAATTTTTATATATTTTGTATAAAGTTTTTTACTTCTCAGACTGTTTCCATGTTCATTATCTCATTTGCTCCAGTTATAAAGATGATGCACTGATGCACAAAGAGGTCAAATGAGCTGGTCACAAAACAAAAAAAAAAAGAAAAAACGAGGATTACAATTCTTTAACTCTCAGCATTTTTTTTTCCTATTATGAATTTGAATATTAATTAGAGCCTGTGTTTGGTGCTGGGGATACAGTAGTAAGTATGAGAGGTAGATCTGCGCTCTAATGGAGCTTATTGCATTAAAAATCAAAGACCAAAAAAAAATCCTTATACATATGATAAGTATTCTGAAAAAATGGTTGATACGGGAGATCCAGTGTCGGTAAGTGTGGTCAGAGAAGGCCTCTGGAGGAACTGACACTTGAACCGAGACCTAATGGACTGTGATAACTAGCGGGGCTGGGAAGAACTTTTCATGCAGAGGGAATAGCATGTATAGAAGCCTGAGGCAGGAAGCAGCCCTGGGATTGTCAGATGTGAACAAGGGGTAAGATGGGCAAGGTGGGGCTGGGAGGGTGGGCAGAACCCGATCAAGCAGGACTTAGGAGTTGGTAAGATGGTGTTGGAATATCATTCTAAGAGCCATGAGACTGGAGGATTTTAGGGCAGGTATAGAGTTTAATAGTTTGGAGGTCATCATACTTGTAGCTTTTATATAATGCTGCCCTTATGATATGCACTGCGTCTGCATACTGAACAGAACCACAAGACAGAAGGATGGCCAAGTGCAACGGAGTGTAAGAAGTGATTTTCTAGCAGCATTAAATTTGGAACAGCTTTCTAATCTAGGGAAGGCTTACTCAGGGTGAGAGTGGTGAGACGGTGGAAATTCTGACCCCAGGAAGCCACATTGGCTAAGAGCCTTCCAATCTGGAATTATTTGGCCAGTGTTTCATACATTTTTTTAATCTAAAATTTCCAAGTAATTTTTTGTTTGCCACCTTCCTCCCCAGCTTTTAATTTTGAAAATTTCAAACATACTAAAAAAACACAAAACAATGAGAACCTAGATTGTATAACTGTTAATGTTTTGCCATATTTGCTTTGTTTTTCTCTTTCTGTATATACACCTAGGCATTCAATTTTTTGGTGGAATCATTTCAGTATACTACAGATATTGTGACACTTTACTCCTAAATATATAAGCAGTTATCTCTTAAAAATTAGGGCATCCCTCTACCTAACACCAATACTGTTAAACGATGGCTTTTCCACTGTTGTCTGCTTTTAGGAATACTCTTAATAACAGGCTTCTCATTTGAGAAGTTTTTGTAGATATTCAGCAGATTCCTTTCATATATTTTTTAAGGGCATATTATACACAGGCATCATTTTTCTAGGTGCTTGGAGATGAAATGATGAACAGGAAAAATAAGAATGGATTTCACACTAGTGAGAGTACAGGTAGCGAACAGTTAAGACTTTTTTCTTACTAAGCCAAGTTAGTACCATATACACGCGAATGCTGGGTTGGATTATGGCAATATTAACAACTTCCACCTTAAATAACATAGGAAATACCTTGTTTTACTTGAACAACATTGCTGCTTTTATGTATTTTATTTAAAAGTTAGAAAATGGTAACTATTTCAGAAGTATTTTTATTCTAAATTAGTCATATATGTTGTATTTTCAAAAGCATAGATGTCCCATTGCTTCTACCAATCATCTAAGCTTATGCAGCGTGGGCAGCCAGAAATGTACCGAGAGAGGAGGATGGCCATTTTAGGTTTATATAAAGGCCGCTGCAACATAAACTCCAAAGCCCCTCCTTTTTTCTTTTTTTAAACTAATAAAAGACAGCTGCAGGTTTGCTGGGCATGGAGGAAGAATAAATGAAGGAGGGGAGGAATCTGAGGCAAGGCTGGGGCAGAGAGGAGTCTCTCTGCAGGGAGCATCAGGGGCTTCCAACCAGCGAGTCAGAGGGCAGTGTGATTTCTGGATGGGGGCAAGAGACAGGGGCTTTTCTCTCAGTGCAGCTTTTACCCGTGTGGTTTCAGGAGAGTGGAAAGTGGTACATGGGACTCATTAACCAATAACTTACCTGCAGGGTTTAGCTAAGGAGCAGTGCTGACTTGGTGGCAGTGGAGGATAGATTGGGGAAGCTGTTGCTCACTGAAATCACTGAATGCTTTGGGGTATATTCATCCTTCAGATGCCTCAACCCAGAAGGGTCAGCAGAAGACTGCTTCCAAACCCCACCTGCTAGTGCCAGGATCTCCCCTGATGGTCTCTCAGAGTAGGGAGAGGAGAACAGGAAATGGCTCTGTAGTCACTGGAGGCAGCCAACCGCCATGTTGGGGGGAAGTTCTGTGAGGGCTTATAGACAGAAGTTTCACAGATCATAGAGTGTGATTGTGAAGCATGTTTATAGGTCATACATATACAAATATAGATTTACTTTTTGAATTTTAGAAACATGTTTTAAATATTTAAACGTATCCAGGATTTCCACCTCATTTTGTTAATGTGAACCTCTTCTCTCTCCATGATCAGCTAAAAATATGAGTAAGTTCACAGAAAGAGCAACTCCAAGGACTTCTCACCCTCACAGTTTGCAGTGTGATGGAGAGCCACAGAGTCGGGGTGTCATGTGATCTAACCCTCTGCCTCTGCACTCGGTGTGGTCATGACCATCACTTTGCTGTGCCTTTGGGGCATGTGGGCTACTAACGCTCCCCTGTCATTTTGTGTCTCAGTGAGAAGTAGCTTTAATGCCACTGGAGTGGTAGGAGGACTGAATATTGCAGTCCTCCCCTGGGGGCCAGTAGCTTTGTTTAGACCATGTGTCTTTATCATTGTGATAGAGTCATTCATTTTGGGGGAACAGTACCAACTATGTTTGTCCTTTTTTTTTTTTTTTTTTTAAGATTTTATTTATTTACTTGACAGAGAGGGAGGTAGAGAGAGCACAAGCAGGGGGGAGCAGCCAAGGGAGAGGGAGCCCCCAACATGGGGCTCCATCCCAGGACCTGGGATCATGACCTGAGCTGAAGGCAGACACTTAACTGACTGAGCCACCCAGGTGCCCCTGTATTTGTCCTTTTGCTTTCCATTTTCATAGGCCGGTCTTTGAGACTGAACTGGAACAACCTTAGCTGATACTATATTCTCAAGTTAAAATATTACAGCATGGAAGCACATTTTTAGTGTCATGGCAACTGGGGGCAACCTATTGGCTTCACTTACATACAGATGTAAATATATATGTATTATAGACATAGCACATATATAAAGTACATTTCTGTCTACACATGACTGGATACGTTGCGTTTATGAGAATGCAACTAAAATTTTCACGGGTTTAGCTTTATGTTATAAAGAATTTGCAGAATTGTGACTTCAAACAAGTTATATTTTGATAATGCCATGATTCTTCTAAAAAATCACTGAACTGCATGCTTATAGAATGTAGAAATATTGAACCAACTTTGCAATGAAAAACTATTAATGAGTGAACACAGATTCTAACATGTTTATTTTGCTCTTGTTTTTAAAAGATGCAACAACATTTTGAATTTGAATACCAGACCAAAGTGGATGGTGAGATAATCCTTCATCTATACGACAAAGGAGGAATTGAGCAAACAGTTTGTATGTTGGATGGGGTATTTGCATTTATTTTACTGGATACTGCCAATAAGAAAGTGTTCCTGGGCAGAGATACTTACGGAGTCAGGCCTTTGTTTAAAGCCATGACAGAAGATGGATTTTTGGCCGTGTGTTCAGAAGCTAAAGGTAATGATAGAATTTTTCTTTAGGTTTTCATTATTGCTCTGGTTTTGTGTTGTCCTCTAGATCATATTTGCAAATCCCATGGTGGGCAATCCAAAAGTTTTCAAGTGACTGTTTCTCAGTGCTTTTAGAATAATGTCTCTAAAACTAATCTGTTCATGGGATTTCCTGGTTAAAACTTTTTAATTACTCCTCATCCCCCATAGGGGTTGTATGGCTCTGTTGAGGTCTGCTACCTTAGTGATCCATTTATGATGGGATCTGGGTCCAATCTGGTCTTTGAATTCAGTATGACAGATTACCAGGCTGACAAACTCAAATTGTAAATCATAATGAGCATTTAGATAGGCTGTTCCTATTTACAGTGTAACACTGATTTTGAATCAAAGATCATGGTGGCGTCAGGTTGGTTACTCTCTGTGAAAACCTATTGAGGAGATTTCGATTATACTATTAACACACAGTATATAATAACTAGTTAAGGGGTAGATGCCTGACTTCTTAATGTTCGACTTTAAAGTACCTCATAGTGGATCATTTTGCTTGTCAAAGGTCCAGGAACCATGGCTGTTTTCTTAAAATACCTCAGTCAAAGAAATGACTGCCAGGATATAGTAAAATGAGTAATTTCAAGTCCATCTCCTTGCTTAATGTATCATTTCTTTTTATATTTAATTTATTATAGAAAATAGATTTTCTTGATCTGAAATTTCAGCTAGGGAGAAGAAATTGAACATTGGAGATTTTCCTATTGCTTTGAACTAGAAATCAGTGTAGTCTTGCTATACATCTCTGTACCACTGTGACCTCTCTAGTAAGTAGATAATAGCATTGGGGTTAATTTTCCCTGTTTTGCTGATATAATGGACATGTGTTTATATTAAAAAGGGAAAATAAACAGGAATTTAGAGGATGGTAAGTTAATTGTGAAAGTTAGTGTGAATTGTATCTTGAGTTAAATTATCTTTTCCAATTTGTAGGTCTTGTTAACCTGAAGCACTCCACGACTCCTTTTTTAAAAGTGGAGCCATTTCTCCCGGGACACTATGAAGTTTTGGATTTAAAGCCAAATGGCAAAGTGGCCTCCGTGGAAATGGTTAAATATCATCACTGTAGAGATGAGCCTCTGCATGCCCTCTACGACAATGTGGAGAAACTCTTCCCAGGTACTAGAGCAAACGCCCACCCACCTATTCCTGACCCTTCTCCCCCAAAGGAAAAAAGAAATGATACTTTTCATGTCACTGGAATGGTTCAGGTCTGAAGAGCTATTTCCTGTTTAATTGGGAGGTGGCGCATTGGGATTTGGCAAAGTCCACGGTTGAGCACATATCATGATAGATAGAGATGATTGTGTACCTCGTTTCAGTAAATAATTCAGCCCAAGGTTTTCTGGAACTGTTTACTTTATGTGTTTATAGGTTTTGAGATAGAAACTGTGAAGAACAACCTCCGGATCCTTTTTGATAATGCCATTAAGAAACGCTTGATGACAGACAGAAGGATTGGCTGCCTTTTATCAGGTGAAGGCTGTTAAAAAGCCTGATTATATTTAATGCATATTTCAGCAAATGATTTGTAGCTATCCCTGAGGTTTTGACTATAAAATATTTACGATTTAATCTTTCTCTCCATTAGAGAATGAAAATGTTTTCTGTAAGCTGTATTCAATATTCAGTAATATAGCAATGTCTGGTTACATTGTAATTGGGATGAATGAGTTAATAAACATTCTTTAGAATAGTGTCTAGTGATTTTTTTTTTTTTTTAGCCAATTCATATACTGCAACCATTATCTTGGTTTATCTATGCTAGATTTTTTCTTTGATTAAAGTTGATTTTCACTTTATAAAACTTGGGGATTTTAAATGGTAAAACTAATCTTGGAGCTCAACAGGATTGTAAATCCTACCTGTTCCTCTCTATATAAGGCGCATAACCAGTATACTTCTGGTCTTGCTCACAGGGGGCTTAGATTCCAGTTTGGTTGCTGCCACCCTGTTAAAGCAGCTAAAAGAGGCCCGTGTTCAGTACCCTCTCCAGACGTTTGCAATTGGCATGGAAGACAGTACTGATTTACTAGCTGCTAGAAAGGTAAGACACTATCTCAGTCCATTATGTAATTAAGACAGACGTATTAGAATAAAAATCAAGCCAATAATTAATGATTCTATGCGTATGTTCCTGTATTGACACAAGTAATTATTTAAAATTAAATATATTAAAATGGAATGAAATGCCTGTTGAGTATCAACTGTGTTGTACGCTGTCCTCTGGATACTTCTACCAAGGTCCGTGCAGTCCTCATAAAAACCCTAGGATAATAATTCTTTTTGAATGTAAGGACATGGTATAGTGGTTATGACTGCATGCTTGGAGCCTGACTGCTGTTTTCAAATCCTACCTCCACCATGTAATTCTTCATTTATGTAATGGGAGTAACAGTAATAGTAGTAATAGTAATGGGATAGTTTTGTGGTGAAAATGATATAATTCATATAAAGTGCATACTAGGGCGCCTGGGTGGCTCAGTCGTTAAACATCTGCCTTCGGCTCGGGTCACGATCCCAGAGTCCTGGGATCGAGCCCCGCATCGGGCTCCCTGCTCCGCGGGAAGCCTGCTTCTCCCTCTCCCACTCCCCCTGCTCGTGTCCCTGCTCTCGCTCTCTCTCTCTCTCTGTCAAATAAATAAATAAAATCTTAAAAAAAAAAAAAATAAAGTGCATAGGCTAGAACACAGCAAGTAGTAAGTACCTTGTAAACGTTAGCTGTTATTTTTTACAAAGCACCGTGTGTTAGGATTATGGGCAGAGGGGACGTTGTACATATATATTCAGTGTTCAGGAGACCTTGTTCCTACTCTGGAAGAACTTAGTAGAAGGAAGGAGAAAAAGCTAGAGTGCAGTTTCAAAGCAAGCTGATCAATGCTGAAAGAATCCAAAATAGCCAAAGAATAAAGGGGGGGAGCCGACATTTCCTTTAGGAATAATATTCTGAATGTCACGTAAAGCATTACTGGGGGGCCAATAGGGGACTAAGGTTAGAGTGGGGCCCTGTTGGACTAGAGAGAAAGGAGGTGGGTAACTTAGGGGTGTAGGGGGCACACTAACTGGGAGCCTCTGGACAGTCAGGTTGAAGTCTTGGAGTAGGAAGAGCTGTTGGGCTGTCTACCTCTTAGTTGAGTCCTGGCAGAGACTGGGGGAGGCCAGGAAACCTGACTGGGGGGCTGTGTGTGTGGTGACCTGGAGAATCACTTCCTCTTATTCTGCCCGGTTTGTTTTTCACTGTTGTTAACTACTGTCATGTTTCCTTCTCAAAGGCAGTTCTTTTCTTTAAATCACAAGTATGTGGATGTTTCTTAAATAATCAGGTGGCAAATCACATTGGGAGTGAACACCATGAAGTCCTCTTTAATTCTGAGGAAGGCATTCAGGTCCTGGATGAAGTCATATTTTCCTTGGAAACTTACGATATTACAACAGTTCGTGCTTCAGTAGGTAAGGTATTTTAGGATATCAGAAATATTTTTAATACTAAAAAAGTATAAGGGTTAAAAGATTATTTCAAACAACAGTTTCAAAAACAACACTTAGGAATAAATGCAAATAAGATTCCTAGGTCAGCAGTATTTTAAGACAAGACCATTTAAGAATTCCCCCAACCTATTTTGGAGGGAGAGGAATAAATACATAAGCTTCCACATTTATGGTATCATTACAGACGATCCTATACTTACCAGGGTTCCACTTAAATAATTTCCAACTTTACGATGGTGTGAAAGCAATATGCTTTCAGTAGAAACCGTACTTTGACTTTGGAATTTGGATCTTTTCCCGGGCTAGTGCCATGTGGAGGATACTCTCTCCTGAGGCTAGGTGGTGGTAGTGAGCCACAGCTCCCAGGCAGCCGGGGGCTCACAAGGTTCAACAACCGAAACACTTAACAACCGCTCCGTACCCACACACCCATCCTGGTTTTCATTCTTAGGATAGTATCAACAAATTACATGAAATATTCAATATGCTATTACAGAGTAGGCTTTGTGTTAGGTGATTCTGCCCAACCGTAGGCTAATGTAAGAGTTCTGAGCATACCTAAGGTAGGCGAGGCTAAGCTATGACATTCAGTAGGTTAGGTGAATTAAATGCATTTTTTATGTTTTCAACTTAAGTGGGTTTATCAGGACGTAAGTCAAGGGAGATCTGTATTTCCATTTCTCCAAAGAGCAGATGCATATTTTTTGCACTTCTCCCTGCCCCACCAATTACTCTGCATATAGTTTCTTGGGCTATATAAGGAAATAGATCTGTGTTGTAACAATTTCTGTAAGGAATACTCATTTTACGTGTATTTTGGTAACTATTCCATTATAGGACTTATCAGTCAGTAACTGTTAGTGCCCAGCAAGCAATACTAGTTTTGTCCTGTGGATATATACCGAAATCAGAAGTACACTCCAAATCAGACTGAAACAGTGTTGTTGAGCCTCTAACATGCTACTGGCTTAGATAGGCCTCTCTCTTAAGAGACTCAGAGTCTGATAAGCCTCCATTGCAAAGTTTAGAGCATGAGAATATTATCACAGGGCTGATATTGCCCTCGAGGGAACAGAAATTGGTTCTTGGAGGGTAACAAAATCTTAGGTATTACAGTGGTCAGTGGTCCTCCAAAGGGCCACAGTATATCCACAGATACATAGTATATCTGGCACTAATATTTCATGGAGAGGGCAATTAGGAAAAAGTGTCTAAAAAGTTTCCCTAGGTTGGCGATCGTGAAAAAAATGGTAAAGAACCAATACTGGTTTACAGGGATGGGCAGCCACAACCAATGGATATCTTTTAATAATTTACATAGTATTCTTAACCATATGTGAAATTTGGTGGATGGGGAGTGTTAGGAAAAAAAAATCTAAACTACCCAAACTCCCCACACCTATTATTTTTGTAGAATGATACTGGTATGAAGGTTAGGAATTTTTTTTTTTTTAAGATATTTGTCATTGTTCAGTTTAACAGAGTTTTAAGGTGGACATTCTTGGTCTAAAAGCACTACAATTTTAAAATCTTTGTAAAAAATTCTGGCATGATTTTGGGCTATTCCATTGCAACAGTACAACTTGCTAGATTAGGTACATTAAAATGGCTTAGAGATAAAGGGTCATTATTTTGGAAACTACTTTATTAATACAGAGTTCAATCTAAGTAAAACTCAGTAGCTTCCAAAAACCAAACAAAGGGTAGAGAGTTATGTTGACATGAACCATTTCTGTCTCTTCCAAGGTATGTACTTAGTTTCCAAGTACATTCGGAAGAACACAGATAGCGTGGTGATCTTCTCCGGAGAAGGCTCAGATGAGCTGACGCAGGGTTACATATATTTTCACAAGGTAAGCATTCTGAAATGGAGGGGCATCGGTGCTAGGCTGGGAAAAGTGAACTATTTGACTACTTGCTGTCCTCTCTTGTCACTATAGCCCTAACGCTTGAGTGTCTTGTGATGTAGATGAGGAAACCAGATCGTGTCTGCTCTGTTTTCCTTTTGGGGGAGAAAGAAGTCTTCCTGGTGTCAGATAATCTGCATTCTTCAGAGCCAGTTGAGCATGAGAATCGCGCTTCTGATATTTCTTACTACCCTGTGGCAGCATGGTTATTGCCCACGGTGTCCATTTTATTGCCTGACGCTAACCATTGGGTGTGAAGGGAGGCCTGGTGTATCACGCAGGGACTCCCTTGGGTAGCTTTTTGTCTTACCCGCCCTTAGAGCGGGAATGTGGGAAAGACTGGGAAATAAAAACCGTTCTGTGTGCCCAAAGCAAAGCTGTTGGTATATTTGTAACTTCACCCGTTTGTTTGTAAAACAGGCTCCTTCTCCTGAAAAAGCTGAGGAGGAGAGTGAGAGGCTTCTGAAGGAACTCTACCTGTTCGACGTGCTGCGGGCAGATCGCACCACTGCTGCCCACGGGTAACCCATTAGTTTCAGAAGCAATCGTAAAGATAGCCTCAAAAGTCATAAAGCTCAACGGCGGCTTATTTCTGTCGGCTTGTTATTTGTTGCAAAGTATGACTTTTTAGAGAAAACAAAGCTCGTCTCCTTCCAAGTGCTGCTGTGGCCCTGATGAGGGGACTGTCGGTTCAGACTGACTTTCTGTCTTTAAACACAGCGCCACTCTGCTGCCATCAGGATGGAGAGGGAAGGCAGATGCAGCTCTTTTTAAGACTTCTTAAGAGACGTAAAGATTATACAGCCCCACGAACCAAGTGTTGAGTGCCTGCCATCCCTGTTAGAGCCTGTGGTGACCATGGGTGGGCACGGGGCCATGAAGATCAAGAGTTTGATTGGATTCTCTGAGACCACTTCTGGATGCCTGAAGTTGTCACTTTAGCTAGTCATGTTGGAGGATTCAAGACTCTTAGTGTGCATGATAGACAACCGACATCAAATGTTTTAGTTGCTTCTACCAAATCAAACTTAGATTGGGAAATAATAGAAGATGGTGTGGGGAATGAACTGAATCCATGGTTATTATCCTATCCATTTGTCTTAACCAGAGTCACCAGGATTCAGGAAACATTGATGCGGCCTTTGATGAAACACTGTGGATCAGTGGTTTATATTGAATGTTGTATGTAAATTAGTCATTTAGTAGTCAACAATTTTGAATTCTTACGGTTTTTAATAAGACTTGAGAGATGGGCTCACCTGGAAAAGACTTTGAGGCAGAAAGGTATAGGAAAAGTACATTCTCAGTGATCAGGTCACTCATGATTCTTGCCTTTTTCTGCTTTTTGAGATGTGCATTTATTTGTTTGTAGAAGGGAAAGTAAAATTATTGGCAGGTTGTCTCACTCCCTAGATAATAAACATCCTGTTTTGAATGAGGATTTTTGCGTTCATGCAATAGTGTAGGGTAATCAGGAGGACTGCAAAGATGACTTTATCATCTTAACATTACTTAGAGGCTGGCTGAATTGCTAAGAAACTCTCAAGGAGAATCTAAATGGACAGGCACTAAATATCCATTTTGATTTAGATTTTCTTTTCCCCTTTAAGCCTTGAATTGAGAGTCCCCTTCCTGGATCATCGATTTTCTTCCTATTACTTGTCTCTGCCCCCAGATATGAGAATTCCCAAGGTAGGTGAATCAATTCAAGATAAAAAACTGTCCATTGATATTGAATATATTTGGAACTTTTACTGACGTTCCTTTGTTTTCACGTCAGAATGGGATAGAAAAACATCTCCTGAGAGAGACCTTTGAGGACTCCAACCTGATACCTAAAGACATTCTCTGGCGGCCAAAAGAAGCCTTCAGTGATGGAATAACCTCGGTTAAGAATTCCTGGTTTAGGATTTTACAGGAATATATTGAACATCAGGTATAATGTCATTAAAAATATCTTCTGGAATAGGACAATGTGTACATAGAGTTGTAATCGCTGTTCATTTTGTGTTTAGTTTAAATGTTTTGTGTGTTGGAGAAATTCTCGGTAAACAGTACTTTTGTAAGAATTTCTTAAGATTTAAATAGCCTGAAGGATTATGTAGTAGCATGTAGAATGGAGAGGGCAAGGGAGGAGACTTACCCATCATCACTGACCTTCATTTGCCACATTATTGCGTACCTGCTGGGGGCCAGACATTATTAGGCATAAAAGAATAGAACACTCAGAGCCACCATCTAGTAGAGGTAGTCACAAAAATGTTCCTTAAAAGTCACTGCAACTGTGTATATTATGGTATTTTAGCATTTTCTATGTGAAGGGTGATTCAAAGGATCTCTTGGACAGTTTAGAGTCATGCCTTTCCATATCTTTGGCTGTTATCGTGAAACCACATTAAATGCAAGGGTTTCTAGGCCATTTAAAAAACCATTTTGCTTTTATGCTCTTCCAGGTTGATGACGCAATGATGGCAGTGGCGGCCCAAAAATTTCCCTTCAACACTCCTAAAACTAAAGAGGGCTATTACTACCGTCAAATCTTCGAACGCCACTACCCGGGCCGGGCCGACTGGCTGACCCATTACTGGATGCCGAGGTGGATCAACGCCACTGACCCTTCAGCCCGCACTCTGGCCCATTACAAGGCCGCTGCCAAAGCCTAGGGCTGTCTGCGCAAGTCAGTGCAAGGAAACATTCCTCTTGCAGAGAGCAGGGCCTGGGGGGCAGGAGGGGAGCGGTGAGCGTCAGCCACTCAGGCTCACTGGGCCTGAGAAAAAATAAAAGTCTTAAATCGGAACCATTGCTGTGGTCGCTTCTGCTCACACAGCCCCTTCATTAGAGGTAACTGGAAACTGGAGCGGCTTTCACTGTTCTCCCATAAGGTAGAGAGTGAGCCCAGGAAAGGGGGAAGCAGGGTGACGTTTTCAGGCAGTCACAGGTGCTGTCAGGCTGCTTTAGAAGCCTTGGGCCTTGTGCCAACGTGGCTCCCTGCCCGTCCTGGCCTCCTCTTCGTGTGGCCGCCTCCCAGCTTCCCTCTCGGTGCTTTCTGTATTCCCAGTAGCTGGCCAGGCCGCCTCCACCGTGCCGAGGCCCTCGCAGACGGCCAGGACAGCTCTATTTTACTAAATAGCAATTCTTACTTTCTTTTTGTCTGTGGAGCCAACACCTCTTCTGGAACTGTTGTTCTAGGTCAGAGGTCAGCAAGCTCTCAAGGGACAGTAGTAGTGCAGGCTTTGCAGCCCTCTGTTGGAACTGTTAGACTCTCTGGAGTGTAAAGCCATAGATAATATGCAAAGAAGCAGGGATGGCTATGTTCCAGTCAAAGTTGATCAAAGGCAGTGGGCTGGATTCGGCCTGTGGGCCCTAGTTTGTAGAGCCCTATTGTAGGGAAGCAACTCCAACCAAGCACTTCTGATCAAAGGAAAATGCATTCTAAGTGAGAAAAGAGACAGTATAACAAGGAAACATTCAGTGAATAAGTAGAAGATTCTCATTTGAATGCTCATTTGTTGTTTAGGGACAGCATTTTGAAATACATTATAAAGATGGATTCCGTTTAGTAGGAACTTTTGAAGAGGAAGGTGCTGGCGTGCAGGTCAACGTAAGAATGCTTGATGGGGGACGCCTGCGTGGCTCAGTTGGTTAAGTGTCTGCCTTCAGCTCAGTTCATGATTCCGGGGTCCTGGGATCGAGCCCCGCATTGGGCTCCTGGTTCCGTGGGGAGCCTGCTTCTCCCTCTGCCTGCCACTCCTGCTTGTGCATGCGTGCTCTGCCTCTCAAATAAAATCTTAAAAAAAAAAATGCTTGATGGGAAGAGCTAGTAGGCCTGGAGTTGAGCTGGCAAGTTGGAAGATGGGGACTGTCTGAGGTGAGAGGCCCTCACTTAATAATCTTAAAATGTCTCTAGAAAGCTGAGGAAATGTCCTGAGTTAATACTGGATGACTCAATGATAATCCTGTATTTGTAGGTGCTCCAAGCGCTCAAATCTAGCGTGATTTGGCTCCCGGCAAGCCTATCCATGGTAAAGCCGCACCCCACCAAGCTAAGGGACGCCAGGAGTGCATGGGAAACAAGGTAATAGCCGGCAGCCTACACGGCAGGATTCAGGGATGCCACAAACCACGAACTGCTAGGTCTTGAGCGTAGGAGTTTGGCCCTAGATTTTTTACTTTCGTGACCGAGCGCTGACATATACAGATACCACCTGAAAGCAGAGGCACTCCGTTCAGCCAGCTTCGTAGGCGTGACTTCAGCCCTGCAGGTTAACCCTAACTAAGCAACTCTCTGGATGTCAAACCACACACAAGCTCTACTGAAGGTTCTTGGCACGTGGTATAAAGTTAGCCTCTTCTTTTGCAACTAAGAAACGGGAGCCCCTGGGGCATATGCACGGGACTCAACGATTAGGTACCGGCCAAGCCTGTTTGCCTGGCCCGCCCTGGTATTGGTGACGCCGTGCTAAGGAGACCTGTAGTTTCTAGTCCGCACAGCACCGCTAGCAACAGATAATCCAGTCCCTCACCAGAAACTAAAAGATTTTTAGCTCCTACCATCCTGCCGTTTCAGCCTCATGCCAGTACCCTAGTGGATGGTGTACCCCTTCACAGGTTTGTTTCACCTTGCCTTCATACATAACAAAAACGGTACTCTGGAGTTTGGGACATGATAAATTCCACAGAAGAAGAGAAACCACCTAACTGCTACCACTGCTTCAGTCTGAACATTTTCTTGCAGAGCTCTTGCTACAAAGGCACAGTTGTACATACGCAACTACATAGTCGTGGTTACAGAGGCTTCAAGGTTTCTTCAGCCCTTCACAAGGAAATGATAAAAGGGAACTCACCCTGAGCCTACCAGTGGCACACTGTTGCAGGAATATCTTGTTGAGGCCGTGGAGGTAGAGCGTGCTCCTTAATTCCTCTTGTCTTGGGGTTGCCGTAGTCTGGTCTGGCGTCTGAGATAACAGATCCTTGGCTTGGGTCCCCACGAGAGGGAAAAGCTGGCCACAGAAAGGTGGTTCCGTATGATTCTACCTGTACATTGGATCAGTCACTAACACGAAGCACACAGCTACCAACTGTTCTAAGTTCCTTGTGTTAACTCAGTGAGTTTACCCACACTCTGAGGAAGTATGGCAGATACGGTTTTCTAAAAACGGCCACAGCGGTATCTCTGGTCCCACAGACTCTTCCAGACCCTAGCTGCTACTCTGAGGAGGCAGTCTATTTCCCTTCTTGAGCCTGGGCAGGATTTCAAGATGGCCTTGACTAGCTGAATCCAGTAGAAGTGACGCTGTGACTTCTGATGCTGGGTCACAAAAGGTCATTTAGCTTATGCTTTCTGCCTCTCAGTGCATGTTGTAAGGAAGCCCGGGCCACAGGACAGGCCTCGTGTAAGAGTTAAGGCTGACAGCTCCCACCAAGGTCTCCGTCAACAGCCAACATCAATCACCAGGTGTGTGAATAAACTTCTAGATGATTCCAGCACCTACTCTTGAGTCTTTAGCTGAGGCCCCAGTCATGGGATAAGCCATCCCTGCATGCTATGTCCAATTCCAGATTCATTTTCCTTGAGTGTAATAAATGGATGTGTGACACCATCCCCTTTTATGTGGTTTCTTACACAGGTTCAGTAACTGGAACAGATAAGCCCCAGTGTCCCTATTTTATACAGGTTAAATCAATCGCTCAGTCATTCAGCTAATTGCTAAGTAGTGGAGCTCCAAGTCACTTGACAGATTGGCTCCAGAGCCTTTGTGGTGTTCTCTGCTGACTATCCCTTCCCCTGTCAGCATGAAACTACAGCCAGGGTCTCTGCTGTGAATTAGACTGAGGGAAAGGACCCCCTCTCAGCTTGAGAGCAAGGTTACCTGCCAGGAGACCACAGGGATGCTAAGCATTTTCTAAAATGGGATAGAGTAGATGATGAGAAGTTTCCAAATTTTCAGTGCATTACCACAAGTGAAGTTATTTCTTGCCTGAACTGTATGTTCATCCGGGTCTCTGGAGCTCTGCTCATCACTGAAGGGGCTATAATCACTCTGGGACCCAGGCTGAAGGAAGCATAATCCTGACACATGCTTCCATGACCAGCAAGGCAGAGGATGGAGCAAGTGGTGAATCATGTACCGAAACTCAGAATTTCCACCCTGAAGTGACATACTACTTTTTCTTACATGTTCTGTGCCGAAGCAAGTCATGCGGCAGGTACATGTACCAGAAAGGAGAGCAGTACCAATGACTCCTCAAATCCACCCTTCAGTCACCAAATATTCAGCTCCCTTTCTTTTCTACATCCACATATACTCATCCCCTTTTCAAGAGTGACAACCCCCCACATTCCACTTTGTCATGGCCATAAGCCCAGAGCTTAAGATTCTGAGTGTTGTACCCATATGGGAGTCTGTTTCAGGTGGCACCTTTTCGTGAACTGAGAAGAAAAGTTATCTGTTCCCCACCTGTTCAATATATAATAGGGCAGGAGTAGAATAACAACAAAACACATACGCTTTTCAAAAACGATAGAATGGGAGCCATACAGCAAACCCTAAGTGGTAGCAAATCTGACACCCTGCTCTCCAGATATTTTGAGGGCCCTCACCTTGGGTCTCCAGCAAAAAATTGCCCCTCAACCATCAGGCAGGGGTGAAAGAGCTGAGAAAATCAATGCCTGAGCATAAGGTGAGAAATGGGGAGCACTCTGAACGGGAAGGCTAATTGCCAGCAATAAAACTAATTTGACTCATGCCATCATAATTATGGTTACCCAGCATATTGATCACCCTTCCCGAGTCTGACCCATCCTGCTCTAAAAGCTACAATCTTCCCAAGAGCTCCATAAGGTATGTACTATTGAGCTCATCCACATTTTATGGACGAGTAAAGTGATACTCAGGTATTCTGTCATATATCCAAGTTCACATAACTAGTAAGTCATCCAAATGGGATATTTGACCCCAGGTCCCAGGGTTGTATTTAACCCCTACTCTGTGTTACCTTTCAAAAGATTATTGAATTATTTGCATGGAAAAATATAATTCCCGAAATTTTCTCTACTTCTGTATTTTTAATGGGATTGTATATCCCATTTTATGGGTAGTTCATAAGTTATTTAACACATCTAATTTAAGCATGAGAATTTTTTTAATTTTAAAAGTGTTTAATGAACACACATAAGCACACATCACTTGTGTAATTGAGATCTTCTGTGATTGAGAGCTAATATGACTTAGATCTTATGTGAACTCTTACCTGATTTCAACCCTAGCTAGCCAGTAAAAGGATGCCAAGGAATTAGTTCATAGTCCTTTGTGCAACTTGGAGAATTTTTAATGATGCTAGAAAAAAAAAACAAAACTATACTCTAATTGTTGGTATATTTTAGAGAAAAAACTATACTCAAATTGTTGGTATATTTTAGAAACTGGTGGTTGCGGTAGAAAATACTTGATTTCTGAGGACTAATATAATACATAAAACCACAAGGTGGCATCCACGACACACTGATTTTTCTCTCCAGGCCATTTTTAATGCATTTCTCCAACTTAGTGGTGGGGACAAATTATTTTATGCCAAGTTGGAGAGATAACATGCTGATTTCATAGAATAAATCCCAGCATGGAAGCTCAACAGTTTGTTATAATTAGTGAGCAGTTTTAACTTGTTAACAGCATATGACTGTTGTATAGGTCAGTATGAACTTATATATTTTTCTGAACCTTTCATGTTCCTCCTTTGATCCACCTTGTAAAAAGTATGTCCTTAAAAGGAAAGATCTTTTGTACTCTCAAAGGTAAG